CAGACATCCCGATCAGTTTCATGTTACAGCAGTATAATAAAGTAGGAGATTTTGATATATGATTAGAAATCTGGACAAAGATGAAATTATTATTCTAAATACTTTTTTATCAATGAATATTCGGAATTGAAAAAATGATCGAATAGTTTTACTCATATTCAGCTTTGAAATGAATAGGATTTTCTGCCACACCCTGTACTTACTATAACTCCTAAATTCCTCAAATTTGAAGTTATCGAATATTTTTGGAGATAGTTTACATCGTTCATTTAAACATTATATCAAATAATAAATATTGATTGACGATTTCTGCCAATGTTGTATTCAAGGGCCCTATCCCTCTCTCATTTTATTGAGTAATTATTTCAGGTGTAGCTAGTTCTGTATCTGCCATTTGGATAGTTAGAAACAAACTACGGAAGATTTTTAACGAAATAGCAATTTGTGCGTGATTCTCAGATGAGCTTTCCATTGTTTTTCATTGCCACACAAGGAACTTGGTGGCATGGGAATTATAGAAATAGTTGGGATGTGAAGTTACAATGAATCTGAATAATCAACAGTGATAATGCAATTCGTATTTTGTTTCCTATTATCTAACCATAGATTCCGGTACGAACTGACTAAATCAAGTCGTTGGACATTCCGCAATAAAGTTGTTAAAGATTTCATCTCAATCAATATACCATGCATCATGCACAAACTATTATTATTATTTCAATTTTGTCGATACAACTCGATAAAGAACCTAAGTTACAAGGAAACTCGTACTAAATAAATACATTTTTAATGATTTTCGAGCCAAACATAGACGTGGTATATCGAAAACGGATACCATTATTGGAATGATGAATATTTCAGAGCGCAGGTAATTGGAGGCTAGTTAGTTGAAACTGTGACTATAATTTCTGTTTCGTGATGTTGAACGTTTTGAGTAAATCTATATTTCATGAGAAATTCAGCTGTTCTACACACCTTCGCGGTCTGAGACTGCAAGAACTCAATTATTAACAAAAACTATGGTAATAGTAAGAGAACTGGCAACAAATTTCGACCGCCGTCATCTGAGAACTTTCGACCAAGACGTTTTGAACGTACTGGGGACGTCCAGATTCCGAGCATTCGTACATCCCCAGTACATCCATTCAGGACCATGAACGCCTGAATCAACGTAATTTCGCCTTTTTTTCACTCAGATACTTGAAAAAGAGATCTAGACAGAGTGGAAAAGATCTCATTCTGAATAAAAGATTTGAAAAAATGCGCTTCTACCAGGGATCCTTTAGATTACCGTATTAAAATATTTTATTTTTACCCCATGTTGAATGAAATAGTTGAATTATTGTTACATATGGAGTCGAACTAATACCTTATGTGTAACATTTTTGAATATTGAAAAATATGTTTAGTTGGATGAACCTATATATAGGTTCGTAACAGATCCCGTAACATGTCCTCAAACATTTTCATTGTAGAATTGTGAGATGACTGAGAGTTTATTTACTACTTCATCCATTTACTCCACTTCAAGAAACCATTGACTTCTATACTACAGAGTAAAGTAGTTTTTCAAGAAATATGTTCAAGTTCAACACCAAATGAATGCTCTGAAGTATCTATAATACTGTTCGATAGCTCTGTGCCAGTTATCAAACTAATCAAAAGAGATTATTATTCCATTATTCCTTGTATGGGTAGTGCAATCAATGCCTTTATGCATTTATGCCATCATGGAGAATTGTCTCCATTCAATTATTCAGATTGCTGGTATATAGAAGCCGTAATGATACGAAAACGATAATGACTTCGGAACTGTTGATGAATCATGCGATGAATACATGTAAAGGAAATATACTGTTAGTTCAGTATATCGCCGTATGTATATTTGAATAACGAGAATACAGTAAAGCAATATCATTCATTGTATTGGAAATTATTATTTTGAAACTGAAATTATGCGATCGATTGAAGATACGTGAGGAGAAGCTACTATTACTTGGTAGTATATAGTTATTCGAATAATGAAAATCTATTGGCGGTGATGTTTGCAAGTACACAGTATGTCCGAAAAACATCCAAACATCGAGAGGATATCCTGGATGTGTATTGCTAGTGATGGAATAATAGCAGATATTTCGATGGAACATTTACCGTGAAAGTATCTATAGAAAAGTGAAGGGTCGCCATCTTTTCTACTGTGTTGTAATTTGGTCAAAGAATTAGTGAGTGTGGCATCACCCACCTGGCGAATGGCTCTGGATGAAACACATACAAAATGTATTTTTTATTGATCCGGAATACTATTACCTATACTATTATTTTCATATCATTTCCCTGGAAAATTCAGATGCTTACTTCATCTCTTCCTTTCCACTGGATCCCATATTTTCATGTTACTGTCGTCAGAATTTATTTCTCTGCAGTATCTTTTTACAAGCCTATACAAGAATTCACCATTAAGCCAGAACAGCTATTTGATACTCTGAACAGTCTTTCGGAATTACATTTCGTAATATGAACCAATAAATCGGCACTGGATCTTTAGATCAATTTGTTATGATATATCGCCTACAGAGGAAACGCCAATTTTCTTTTCGACATTTAATTGGTCTATACTCGTTCTGTTTCCGTTTCGATGTGTCCTCATTATTTCTTGCTGATTGGCTCAACATCGTGATATCCATTGTGAAAAGAGCACTTCTTCCATGTGCAACCAAGCATGTAAAAAAAGCTGAAGTTATGTTTTTTGAACTTCGATAGATACGAAACAATTCATGGTATTGAAGTTCGACAGTTACACATAATGAAGTAGTTTTTTTGTTGTTCAATAATTGATACTATATATATGCTGCTTCAAAAGGAATGATAATGGATACTTTTTCTTATAAGTTTTTGAAATTCTAAGTTGATTCAATTTGATCACCTCGGATATTCGTTATTATTGTAAGGAGAACAAACATAATTTTCGTCGCATCCAAGCTATATTTGTCTAGAAGAATGATGTCGTTTTCCGTTTTCAAAGAAGTTGAAGGTAGTAGTCGCATTTCACAATTCATATATCAAGCTTCCAAACAGGAAATGTTTACCGATAGCGTCAAAGCGATTTTTTTTTCATTTGCGTGACAATCCATAATGGATCTATCCCCCGGGTAACTGCGCGTTTTCCTACTTTTTCTTGAAAACCGTTATCCAGGCGACGTCAGGATATACAATAAAGAAACATCAAGCAAAATCTAGCAGCGTACATGATACATAAGACTCCACTCTCACAAATAGCAAAGCACATTCCAAGAAGCAGTGGTTGACAGTCTAACTGGACAAAATATATTTCTGCCGAAAACATCTCGAACAAGGATTTTTATCACTAACTAGATAGTTACTTGGGTCATTCGTATTTGTTGTTAGAAGAACGAAAATTTCAACCAGAATCTGTAAACTTGCTGATCGATAAAACAAGTGTATGTTGAAAAACTAGAGGCCATGGCTGATTCACATCATCCAACTGACTTCCAATTACCTCCTGATATATAAGTCCATCCAGAAAATAGTTATTTATGCGTCAAGGTAGAAAAGTATTATTATGACATAGGGAAGAAGATATACACATTTACTACCAAGGTGTATATTGATTTTTTTCACCACTAGCAATATATTTCAATCATTATAGTTTGGTGAATCTAGAATATCGATCTATTGTCACTATGGAAGCACTCTTTTTCAATTTTTGATTGAAATATAGCAGCCATGACCATGACAGAATATGTCGTTAGAGATGAATACCTACTAGATTCGGGTGCGATTACAGCGAATCTCGAATTAGAACAGTGAATTCGGGTTAATTATAACAGAGGAGGATATGTCTTTACAAACTATAGTACCCAGTTCGTGAAATAAAGAAAGCCACCTTGGTAAAGAAAACACACATGGCGCCTTGAAAAGTACATGATGGTTTGTTCTATAGCTAGTGGTGGAAAAACAAAATTATACTATGAAACTATAGAGATCCTGATCCGAGTATGAGCTAACAGAAGAAACGTCCAATCATAAGCGGTGGAAACAAGCGAACGAATAGTCTTCAGCATTATCGTTGTGAAAACAAACAGAACGTAGGTAGGCATATGATCCGTCCTTTAGGACCATATTAACTTCAACCATCAGTACCATTCATTGATTAGACTCATAATAAGTAATGATAAACCACGAGGTTCTGTCCTTGGTGCACTTATATTCCTGCCATATGACAATGATCCAGCAGACGACTCCACATTATCTCAAATAACCAATCAGGATCTCAGTACACAGAGTGCTAGCCATAGTATTATCATCTCACAAAGACAGAATCACACGATTATACATTGCTGGGTTCTGTTCCACTGTGGTGGTAAGTTTAGGACTGAAATACAGCATACTTACGGAATGACTCATGATCTATATTTCGACAGAAGTAAAATATCTTCTTGTTTTCCGATTTCGAGATGAAGAGAGGTCCTCTTACTTTAAGGTGAACTAGAATGTTAGTGCAAAACGCACTTGGGTTATTGGCTCTCAGGAACTCTTCAGGTTAATTATCAACGTAAATTCAAATCTGCTCCACATCATCAAAATCCAGAACTTGCTTCATTCAAACATCTTATTCTTTCTGGCTTACGTCCTTCCATAAGGTTATTCTTGATCTAGCAAAGACTCGGATAGATGAGAGTTTCAGCTCTCTGGTGATCTTGGTCAGAATATACCATGAAGAACCCGGGGAACTACATCCGGTATCAGTTAACTGATCAACCTGTTTTTGGCATGGAGATTAGTCAATGGCTCACTCCACATTGCCGAAAGAAACCATTAAATTTCATGGTATTGAAAGCATCATTTTCTTCTCTTTTCAGGAGAAGATTAAATGATATATAAATGATTTACTGATTGATTGAACTGACCATGCTTCATCTGACTCCGTCCAATTAGCCTGTCAACACTTTTCCAAACACCGAAAAGCTTCTAAGACGTACCTGCAGATAGCGTAGCTGTAGGGCAGCTGGTGAATCGCCAATGACCTCAGATGCCTCCCTCAGAGCCCTGGAAGCCTTCTGCTCACCCTCAGCTGCGATGACCTTAGCGCGGGCCTCTCGAGCTGCCTCTGCCTCAGCTGCCATGGCCCTCTGCAGCTGTACCGGCAGTCGAACGTCCTTGCTGTGGAAGTAAGATTCAGGATTGGAAATGACGAAATGAGCAAGATTAGAAACAAATTAATGTGATCCGAACACAATTTTCGGATGCTCACTTCAATATCTAACACTGGCTTTTTGCTTTCTGAGTTGTGTATCATGATTGATCTCGAAAATTGTTTAGAGCAAGCTGCTGCATAATTTGGAAGCAATAATTTTATTATCTTCCAATCATGCTTACATGCGAACCCGCATTGGATGCACAAAATCAATAGAATTAAAAATCAGGGTAACTCTCAAATCTGATAGCATGGTACAAATTTTATTTTTTTTTATCAGAAGGTTTCCAGAAACGAGGTGTTCATAGCAATTAGGTTTCAGAAGGGTACCGTTTATCGAATTTTTCCATATGCTTTAATAAGCATAGGAAGGAGTAATTTCTACATTCATGAGGAGAGTTTTTGCAAGCCAGAACCCGTCTGAGATCTTGAATGAGCTAAAATACGTGCTTGATAGCCAGGAAGGTCCAACTTCGAAAAGGAACAGTGAGTTATTAGCACATCGTTCATCTGTGAAATTGTTCTGTTTCTTCTAAGAGTTCAACAAGGGAACTAATCAGGAATAATAAATCCTATCTTCCAAGACATTCACCATCGAAAACTTAAATGAAGGAAGTTCTGAGGAGTATAGCAGCAACATTCACATAAATATAGCTTTGCTGGATATAATTACATCGAATCATTATGCTAGTGGGAGCACCAGGCTGACCTCGTATGTTTGTCGATCCTCAGCTAGAAAGTGCATCAGAGAAATATGAATATCATATATAGTATTATTACTGGTGTGCATTCCTCCATCTGAATTGTTCATGGCATTGGAAGGCAGAAATAGAAAATGAGATTGATAAATCAACTCCAGATTATACAAAAAGAAGTGATTCCTCCATTTGGAACCAATTTAGAGAATTTTGTAAACAACGGAACTTGGAAATCGTACAGTCAGTGAAATATGTTGCAGGAATATTGATGAACTGTGGCTCCAATATGGATTAACAAGAGGGGGGCAATTGTAAAGAATACCTACGTGGTGAAAACAATGTTGCTCTCGTGATTTTTTTATAACAGCTCTCCTCAAATTGCCAATGGGGTAGATATTCGAAAGCAACCACGAAAAATATCTGGCTATATCTGAGCTCTCGTGGTGTTACCTCCTATAGAATCGTTCGGAAAAGTAAAAGTCGTGCGGAAAGTAAAAGCGTAGAACTTTCAGAAGAAACAATCGTGAGCAAAAGCGCTTTCCGCCTGCTCGTCGGAAAAATATCTTACCAACCTCTTAGTAACCACTTAGTTACACGTAGCTGCTCCAAACAGTGTTGATACACTTAAGCCACACTTTCGAGCCCATGTTTTGTGCACCCACATTCCTGGGATCGCAAGTGAGCCATGGAAAAGGCCGATCTCGCGACCAAAAAAAAAACAACTTCCTAGGCAAAATCTCTTCAACATCCTCCGAGGTCAGAATACTGCCCCAAAAATGGGTATTCCTTGCTGCCACTACTGCCGGGCATTTAGTGAGGATGTGAGTAGGAGTATCTTCATCCTCTAAGCACCATTTGCATGCAGGATCCTCCTCAATCCCGATCGTGCTGAGATGCTTGTTCAAGTGGCAGTGCCCTGTCAGGAGGCGCACCACAAGTTTCAACTCCTTTCTGTTTAATGCCAATAGGGCATAGATCTGTCTTCGTGACGGATTTCCTATATGGAGTTTGGACTACCTCATTCCAGGAGCCTCTCTCTAGCTGTCCTGAAATATTTCCATTAGGATTTCCTTCATCCTGAAGTTGCTCCAGGATCAAGTGACCACCAAGACTGGCTCTGGACCAATCACTAAACCGTTCGCCCTCTTTCTGGCCACACCAACTGCCATTTCGTTACCAGGTACCCTGAGTGCCCAGGGACCCACAGCAGACACATTTACTTAGTTAATAATAGCCGATGGCCTGTGTAGGCTATTTATGCAATCTGAAGGAGTAGGTAAGTTTTTATGTGGTTCTTGATCGGTGCCTGGCTGTCAGTGCGTAAGCAATAGCCTCTTTCGATATTCTCTTGAACACAGGCGAGTATTGCGTATACTTCAGCCTGAAAAATCATAGCATATTTCCCAAGGGTATAGTAATAACCTACTCTTGGGGACTGCCCATAAATCCCATCACCTGCGCATTTTCCCATCCTGGAGCTATCTATATATCAGATGATGCCCTTGGTGGGTATAATGCAGTGCTCATTCTGTTTCCAGTCTATCTGAATGCGATTCGAAAGCCTTTGTGGTTCGAATAAATGGACTTAATCCAAAATTATGATTTTTCAGAAGAACTGCAGTAAAACGAGTTGCACTATATAACGACTTACCCGTTTGAGACTGTTCCGTATCGTGAGATGCTACAAAAGCCCAATCCTCTAGCTTCTCAAAGGACCCTTACAGTATTATAATGGTGTTAGGCGTGGAGACCGGCTCAAATCCAAGGTTACATAGGCAAATGCACAAAACTCCACAGTTTCAAGCTGCTAATAGGGAATATGTAGCGATTTGAAGCGAGTAGCAATGAGCAATTAAGTTTAATCTACAATCACTTATCACAGCCAAGCATTTTTTAATAGAATGTGAAACCAACCGGGTCACGAGAATAGAAAACTGTTCCAAGACGTCGTCTCACTACGGAGTAAATCAGATCACTGGTCGTACCTATTTTCGACCTAAATATCATCGGCAGATTCATCTGGGTCAGAGGTCAGGTCAGGTGAAACACTATCCTAGTAAGGATTTTGACTTGAGACATTTTCCTGAATCGAATTATCGGTGTTCTACTGTCTTCCCCTTTCAGTGTTGCCTAATTTCCATCCAAAATCCTGAAAATTCAGAAAAATGTCTTCACTCACATTTCGACCCTTTCCACGTTGATGCCCCACGAATCCGTCGCCTCGTCCAGCAGCGCCTTCATGTGCTGGGAGATGCTCTCGCGCTCGCTGAGGATCTCGTGCAGCGGCCGCTGGCCCATGATGTTGCGCAGCGTGGTCTGCGCGAGCAACCTGGTCGAATGGTGTGCGTTCTCCACGTTGGCGATGGACACGGTGGCGTTGGACACCCGGTAGTACACTACCGCGTCCACAGACACCGTCACGCTGTCTTTGGTCAGCACCTAGAAAACGATCGGATGATTGGAAACGGCCAGCTCTTGTGTTGGAGATGATTTTTTCATCTCTTGGGGCGCACTAAAGGAAATTCCTATGATGTACAGTACAATACAATATGATTTTATTCAATCCATAGAACTGTGAAGCCATCGCCCAGATAACACCGACATCCTTGAGAAGAGACGGCCGACTATTGAAAATGTAATGCCTTTCCGCCGTCGAGGTGTCTAGACGGCCGCCAGCCGGCCTTAATACACATGTAATATCCTGGGATATAGAAAGAAAATGCAACACCTGGTACATCGATTTTATGATAATTATTATTGAATAAATTTGTTGAAGAATATGATCAAGGATTTCCATAGCTAAACAATTCGAATTATCGACCCAATAAAATAATATAAAGATGCAAGTTCAGAAAAAACTGTTGTTTAATTTTTTGTAGCTACGGCTGACGCAATGCTGCTACAAAAAATTGTCGAGATTGAAAAACGAAAAATAATAGAGCTGCATATATGTGGTTGTGAGTGAATTTACTGATTTGAGTGAATTCTCAACTTGAACTAGATATTTTATCAAGTTTTCCTATCACTGAAGATGTTTATAACAGATTCGATTGAATCGGGCTCATGAATTACCATTTTACTCAGTGGCTCAGTGGCCAGCGTAGCTTAGTGGTTAAAGCGTCAGTGTTCTATCCACGTTGGATTTCTGGTAGGTGGGTTCGATTCCCACCATGACTGCAGAAATTTTTCTGATGGCCTAGGAAAGTGTTTGGGATCACACTTTAAAAGGTAAGACTCCCGTCATCCCTTGCTCGCACAAGTCTCTTGAAAACTTCTGTGGGTTGCTCGTAAGGGGGCAAACGAATGATAGATAAGAACAACAATTTTAAAACAACAACAACTTTTTAGAACTCTTTCAAGTAGGGTGAAATTTCAACTCAATCGGGCGTGGGAAATTGAGTCATTATTGCGTGGACCTTGAGTGAAATTTCACTCTTCTTCCACTGAACTGTTAGAATTTCCATTTAACTTCAAGTTCAAATAACAGTTTCACCATGTACTCACCTCTTGTGGTGGGATATCGTATGTCCTTGTTCTCAGGTCCACTCTAGCGTAAGCATCGATGCATGGTAATATGAAGAAGATTCCTAGAAACAAAGCGGCATTTATTTATTGATCAATGAAGATGATTCAACGCGACACCGTAGCAAATTATTGCTACCTTAATAAACCAGGATGTCATTTGGCAAAAACAATAAACTGTAATATAGGACATCATAGTCCAAGAGCCGGCGGCCATTTTCGACTGTAATCTATCGCACGTTGAGAACAATAGTGTGACAACTCAAAAAAGTTGACTTTTGAGTTAGAACCACCGTCGGATAGCAAATTATGAGATCTACATTTCTGAAGTATCATGACAACTGTAGGTCCAATAGCTGCTGCGTGACAACGCTGGTCACGTTATTGCACTAGAGGAGAAGTAGGTGCTACAGCCGAGCAAGAAAATGACTTTTTGCCTTGTCACCAAGTCTTCGCAGGATACGCCTCGTATTCTGACAATGGGGAATTTTTTATGGTAGAGTAGTGACAAGTCTTCAAGTCACCTAATTGTTTAATCACATTTTGAAATTTTTTGAGTTGTCCCGATATTTTCATCGAATATTTCGATTTGTCACATGTCTTGCACTTAATGGAATGGAGTAGGCTATACCAGCTTTTGCAGAAAAGATGGAAGGATAGAAACAAGAAGAAGATAGCCCTCAAAAAAGAAGAAGGAGAAGAATGAAACTTTCGGGTGTATGCGTTTTAAATATTTACCATTGCATGAGATATCAAGCTCCACCCAATGTTTAAATTCCAATTTTGAAAATCATTTATCACAATTCTTTCGAATTGAACATTTGAAAAAATGTGTGTTCGAAAGAATTCTCAAGAATAGATTGTAATGAGGTCTACAAATGAAATAAAAACCTAAAACATGTAATACGGCAATTTTTTGAGATGTTACATCTCAGAGAATTGCTGTTTTTTAGGATTGACATCTCGAAACATTGTCGAATATGATAAATCGAAACTGTAAAAACTATCGCTATCTCACTTAATATTGTTCCTCCAAAAATGTTCGATTGGGCAAAATTGAAGTATTTTTTATGGGCATTTAGAATCCAGTACCAGAAAATGCAAAAAAGCATGGTTAACATAACGATTTCATATGAACTGGTATTTTTTAAATGGAACACACTGTATTTTATTTTTCAAAACGTTAAAGCTCGTTTTTTTGATTTCAAATATGTATACTTCATGGAGGTTATCTTTCGTGACTTTTTGAAAAATATATATTTCTTGGTATAGATCTGAGGCAGATGTTTTACGCCAGACGACACTGCTGCGATTTCTGATGTTCTATACAGCTGCCTCAGAATCTATATCTTTCGAATACTGACAATAAAATATATAAATTTGAAGTCGCAAGCATCGCAAGCAAGAGCTCTACCGTTTAGATCAATAAAATACAAGGTGTTCCGTTCAAAAAATACCAATCCATGTAGAATTTTCAGGCTAACGATGCTTTTTTGCATTTTCTAGTACTATATTCTGAATGGCCATAAAAAAATACTTCTCTTATGCCTGTTTGGACGTTTCTATAGGACCAATATTAACTGAGAAACCTAATAAGTGAAATATAAACACACAAACAACCGCCTGGTCCTTAACATACACATATAATCATGTTTTTCTACGGCTATAACACAAGATTTCTCTTATTTACCTATGTTCGATACATCAATGAGGTACTTTGTATGTCATCAATTGCATTTCCGTATCTGATATCACAATGACTCCATTGTGTTATATTATTTTTAAAAAATCTCATCGTCCATGGAATGTCAAATTTCAAGCAATGACAGATCTGTCTAATAGATGAGCATTTCTTGACAGTAAATCAGATAGCTACATGAAGAAATCGAAAATGCCGCTGTTGTCTATTATATCCGTAGAAAAATTATAGTGTATAACTTGCAGGAAATCACTATCATTCCGTGCACGTTAAACAATATACTATTTTCTACGCCACAAAGTATTCATTGTGTTATTATTTCAAAATTTCTCATCGCACATGAAATGTTGAATTTCAATAAGCAATGACAGCTTTGTCAAATAGATGAGCATTATCTAGGAGAAAGATGGCTACAAGCCAAAGAAATAAAAAAAATTCTATGTTATCCGTTACAGCCGTAGAAGAAATATAATGTATAACTCGCACGGAATGCTAATTTCCCACTCGCATAATTGGCAGCGTTCTCCTATACTATACTCCTTCGTATATTTTTGTATATCGCAAGACAATTAACAAGGATAGAATTAACTTACAACTGGCAATGAAATTCAGTAGTCTCAGCAAAAATGTCAAGTTGCTGTACAGACAGCTACATAATCAGTACACCTTACAAATCAATCCTCCACCACTTGCTCAGTAGTTATTATCACTATCTATAGTAAGCATTACATGATGCTGAAATATGTTTGGTCTTGGGGTATTTTCTATACTAATACTCATATTTTTCCTTGTTAAGATCACAACCCAAAATTTAGTGTTCACAATTGATATTTATGTTATAGGAGCACTGAGTTTCAAGTGCAATAATTATGTAAATTTTTTAGCTACCAATGCCAAATACGATTGGTTGTTGATACGATCTATTTGTTTTCATAACTAAATTGCCTAGGAACAGCAATAACGAATGACATATTATTGAAGCTAATTTTATATGATTCTAGCAGAGCACTTTCAAATTTTCTATCTTCATTATTTGCCAGTTCATAAATATCGCTCAAAAAACAAGTTCAAATGTTCGTAGTAATGTACTCCAGATGTGATCTAACGTATCATTAAATTCGAAAAAGCTGCGACAATGCGATAAATACGAGGATAAATACCATTTATCTACGACTATTAAATTATATATCAATGATTCAACTGCCTTTGTACAATTAATAGTATCTGTAAACAAACAGCGTGAGTTATAATAACTCTCGCTACTATAACTCACTATAATACTTACATCGGGAAAGGCTCTTGGAATTATTTACGAACCGGAAATCAAGATGGCTCAGTACTTCTGTACAAGCCAGTTGGCCGAAAGGGAACAGTCCATTATTGTTATTGAGGGGAGTGATGTCAATTGAATAATTTTGACGTTTTCAAACTAGGCTGATACAATTATTGTGATTTTTTTTATGAATTCAGATAGTGAAGATGGATAATCATTTGAATTTCCATATGGAAAATATCACTCACAAAGAATGGCATTGATAAATTTGGAGCAATGGGGAGATATTGCCACATTTCTGAAATTACCAGACTGTAATTTATATACAGGACATTGTTTTCGCCGCTCGTCGGCAACTTTATTAGTAGATGCCGTACGGCACTGAAACGCCATGGCGGTTGGTGATCAACTACTGTGGCTGAGGGGTACGTTGCTGATTCCGAAAAGAATAAGACAGATATTGCAAATGAAATATACAGTTCTATAACAGCTCAATCAGTTAGTACATCAACAACATATATGCAACAAACACAAAAAGAAACAATAATTTTCCATAAGTCAGTTCCACATATTCAGTTTACTGGTTGTTCAAACTTCACAGTTAATTTTTTCAATAAACAAAATGAATGATTAAATCTAAAATTTGTATTAAGTATATTGAGATTTGTCAATAAAGTTCTTTCTCTGTACTTGTAACTTAGTATTTATTGTAATAGTCGTAGATAAAGTATATTATTCAACTTGCGGTAATGGTCATAACTCACTTGATGAATTACAGCACTCGCCTGTGGCTCGTACTGCAAACTTCATCTGCGTGAGTTATGACCTACATTTTACCGCTCGTTGAATAATATACTATTCTTGCCAATTACTCATTGCCAATAATTCACGAAAAATCTCACCTGGTCCCTTAGCGCCACCGGAAAGAAGTCGTCCTAATCGAAATATTACTGCCCTTTCGTACTCTTGCACCACCTGAGAAAATAAAATAGAAATATCCTGAATTATATCAGAATGTATTTCGAAAGATGAAAATGAGCTGATCATGATGGTACTAAGAAGGTGAAAGGTGAAACGTCAAACGCAAAATAGTGGAAAATACATTCAGATATTAGGTCCTGAAAAATAATTTTCAAATTGAATTTAGTGCAATCCAATTCGAAACAAAAACAGCATTATCAGTCGACACTGATGTTCTATGTCACCCGGTATACTCGAAATATCAAAGTTCACCAAACTTCAACCCACAGAATTCACCAACGTTTCAGCAGACTATCGAACAGAGTATCTGCACAAACCTCTTAAAAATTAATGAGCTCCTTGTAATCCTCGAGGATCCTCGATTAGTTGATAAAACAAGGACAAGAGACTCAAAGGCCGACTTGGGTCACATATGAAACATTTGGCACTTTCTGAAAGGTTATATAAGGGATGAGTTCCGATACCCAAGATGATTATAATTTGGGACCTCTTCTTTTCCTATTATTTGTCAATGATTCACCTTCTGAAGTTACATCGCAGTGCTTACTCTTTGCAGATGATTACTCCCAACTGCAGAATGATATCGATTAAATTTATGATTGGTCCATTGATAATAGACTGTACTTCAACATTGATGGATGTGTTATCATAACTTCCAGTCGACAAAAGAATTCAAATTTTTATATCAACACTATGGGAAATGTAGCTCGCCCAATTTTGGTTTTCAGTCACATAATAATATATAAAATTCTCCCTCTCGAGCATACACTTGAATTTGGTTCTTTTCAATGTGTTATATATCTTCACAACACTCAGGTTACAAGAAAATTGGAATTCGGATGTTTGATATGGAATAATTTTCTGAACAAACGGAATGTTAATCAAATAGAGACCTTCCAAAATAAATTTCTGAAGTATCTTTTCTATAAAAAATTCAACGCTTCCCCAGGTTTTGTTCCTCATCAACCCTTGAGGCTTGATTTGAATATTACAAAATTAAAGTACAGGAGAATCCACCGTGGCCTGCTTTTTCTCTATAAACTGATGAATAACCACGTAGACTCTCCAAAACTCCTTACACACGCCCCAGACGCCTTACTTTTTTTGTCAACACTACATATACTCTTGACTCAGTATGCCAATTATACAATCGATACTATCTCGAATATCATCTGGATATATTCAGATCAAGTCTCGAATCCTTCAGGATAGCCGTTTTTTAAATAAAAAGTCGTTTTGGTGCTGAACCCCTGACAATCATTCTTTTTTTTAATGTTATATGTTGTTATTGAGCATACCAACTACAGAAACATAGTAATTAGGGTAACCTGTATGTTTCTGATGAATGAATAAATGAATAATATCGAATGAAGGCCGGTTCTAAGGTGGGGAATCCTCCTATTCTTCCCCAATTTACTGAACGAGCTCTCAAACTCCCCAAAAACGGGAATGATATCAAGTTTCATAGGTGGTTCGGTTAGCTCAAAGATTAAATGCTGAGGTACTGACCGAACGATATGCGATCACAAGTGGTTAAAGCTAGTGCTTCGGCACAACCATTGGCCGAGGCAGTCGATATTCACTCGGACCACGCCCGATAAACCTTCCTACCAAACCTATTGGAAATGTGATCCTCTATATATCATTATTCATTTGTTATGTTGTTATGTAGATAGTTTTGGAAATATACATAGCTACAGTTGTTTTTTATTATCATTCACAAGTACAAGAAGTGTCTTATTCCTTCCTTCAAAAGATTTCATCAGGTTATGGGCCCAGTAACACTTGTCCAATGCAGCGTCTTGAAGTGAATATCTTGCTTTCTCCATAATAGTTCTATTTGCTCTCTAAATCCATCACCATTTGATTATATGGTTGAGGTAAACCACAGAACACAATAACACCGACGAAATCATCATCTAAAGCAGTAGCAATATCTGATATATGTTGAGAAATTGACCTCACTTGAGTAACATACAATTCCATGGATTGAGAATTTTCAAGTTTCAATTAGTAATCCCGAGCGCCTCGTGAGTCCTTTGTCTTCATATGCCTTTTTCAAATTATCTCAAGCCTCTTTTGTAGTTTTGGCATTGCGAATATGGATGAAAGCAGATGAATTTACCATCGATGATATCTTGGCACGAGCTCTCTGCTCCTTTTTAACATCTTGATTTTGAACTATGCCATCATTATTTGTCTCGATACAATCCCAGAGATCTTCATGCATCAGATACATCTCCATAGCGAATTTCCAATTGGAGTAGTTGGAAGATCCATCCATTGTTTTTATAGAAGGTGAACTGGACTGCGAACTCATGTTTCTGTATCTTTTTCTTGACGGGCAATGTCAAAGTAAAATATTCCTGACGGCGAAAGTCCTTCAAATTCCTCATGAATATGATACACATGTAGCTCAGTTGGAATTTACGATTCCCTTCAAAAGATTTCATGAAAACCCATTCCCAACCCCAACCCACACTCTACCCCATGGCAGTTGCACTTGGAGGTATTGTAAAAGTGCTTTTTCTTATTCTTATTCTCCACTAACTGAGTCAACTAATTCAAAGAGATCTTGGTAGCAGCTGAGCTTCTCGCTGATATTGGCTATGGATGGGGCTCCGTTCTGGACCACTCGTGGTCGACCTCTGGACACCAGGAGGTGCTCCCAGACGGTTATAACTTGTATTTTTACGGTAATGTTTTATATGTTGCTGTTATATTTACATGTTATATCAGGTTTTATACCTATATACACACATAAATGTTATACATTCTTGAGTTGATAAATAAATGTATTGAATAGGTTCTAAGGGAAGGGGGTTGTGGGGGCGATAACCCCCTCCCCCTAGAGGATAACGACCTATGAATGTTTTACATTTTTTTATAGAAAAAATGGTGAAAACAACTGCAACAAGAATCCGAACCTACTTTATTACCGAGTCCGAACGTATTTTATTACGGTAATTCGTATTGCTATGCATGGTGCAATTCTAGTGATGAAATGATGGATTTTTGGTAGTTCATGTAATATTTTTGCATCATTAAATGCAAATTGCCTGTTACTGTTTTCATGGTGTCTTCTACACAACTCATAACTCAATGAGAAGCAGGACACATATTAATTTTCAAAAAGACATTGCAACCTGGACATTCTGATTCAGTGTTAAATATCCTGCATATCGTTATTGCCAGAAATATAAATTGCAGCAACCAATTGCATGCATTGAAAAATGTAAAATAAAACCAGTAGCAAAATAGAAACATCACAAAAATTACTTTTATTTCTGACAGTGACATTATAAGCTTATATCGTCATAGTCACGATATCTATAATGAGGGTCATGACTCCCTTGGGATATTAAGGTTCAAAAACTCCCTCTTACCTTTTACAGGTGAAAATGATACAAGAAATGCTTATAAACGTTTATATGTGATGAAAACTAAGACATATTTTCCTTATTCACGTCATTACAAATAATAAATGTACAATTTTCAAATGTTCCCTAGTGAAAATTACTTCCGCCGCTTAAAAAAAAAGTAAACATGTAACATAGCGACAACCTAGCAACAACCAAAAATGGTACAATCAACGCTACCTAATTCAAATATACCAGAAAGGTTATGAATTTGAACATTTATTGCGTTCTAAATATGGACATATTGTTATGAAAATCGGTCAGAAATAAAATTATCTATGTACCACGGGAATTATAGAGCCTTAATAACCTCTGGCAATTGCTGTCCCTCGGGCCAGAGGCCCTCGGGACGCAAACTTTGCCATCGGTAATTAAGGCCCTCATAATTCCCATAATACATAAATAACTATTATACCAGTATTAGTCCCCCTAGAAATTCACCTTAGGATTGCTCTTGTGAACTGTAGAATGAGAAATGCCCTCGTGGAATAATTTGCATGAAATGATGAAATGCTAATCAACGTAACCATTCCTAAAAATAATACTTCTGAGAAAAGTAAGCATCATGCATGAGAGAGTTCAACATAGCCAGATGAAAGTATGGTAGAATTCAATGCGAGGCTGACTCATGAATAGAGTAGTTGGGGGAACTTCGGCAAGCTTGATGGAGAATATTTTTGAATCTCTCTAACAGGGCACAATATGTTTCAAGTGGTTAAGGATGATATCAATTAGTTATCATCAATTAGGAGCTACAAGCATCGATAGCAAATTACCAAGTATATTTGGGGATCGCAGTTTTTTTTTATGTTCTGGTTCCCACGAAAAGGGATATCCTGTAAAGTTCAGAGAATATCGTGAGAACCAAGGGAAATAAGGTAGGAATTGGTGTTCTTCTTAAATTCCTGGAGGTTATATGCCTCGGAAACACCTCCCTTGATGTGTTCCATAGCCACGCTGTTCGTTGGATGAACGAGTCTTTGGAAAGAGATGTTCTGCAGGTCTCCAAAGTGACCAGAAAGGGGTGCGAAGCTTTAATTCGACGGGTTAATCTCGCGGGGACTGCCAAGGGAGGAACAATTGTTGATTTTTCAGAAGAGCATCGTCCATGAAAATATCTGTAAAATAGAGCCAGATCGCCAACTTTTCTACGGTGTTCCAGAGAAGTGAGTGAGTTTGTGAGCGAGGCATCACCCACGAGACGAATTGCCCTTTTTTGGACAGAATCCAACAGTTTCAGGCTATGTTTGGGTGCTGCACTCCAAATATGGGAGGTGGTTAGTTATATATATGTTTTTCATCATGTGAAGAAAATCATTGAATACTTAGATTATATCTGAATAAGGGCATTCTGACTATACACGTGAAACTACCTTTATTGTGGGCTGACCCACGAGCTGATGTAGTTTCAACAACTACATAGTCATCAGATTTCTTTCCTAATTATGTCAGTTTATATTTAATTTTATTCCAAATGGTCATTTTACTGATAAAATAAAGAGCACTGCCAATATCTCGTTTTCCATAACAGTTATCTATTCACCTTGTAGTAGAGAATATCATCATCATATTACC